TTTTCAATAATATATTGACTAGCCGCTGAATATACATTTGTTTATTAGTGGGTGATTCTTATGCCATGTCCTCATCACCAATGATTGATTTTGGAATTACTTTTTAATTATAGTCCCACTACAATTACATGTAGACGCATACAGCAACCGCCCTGGAATACAAACATACCTTTCAGTTCCACTTTAGTTCAGATCAGTTACGATCAGTTTTTATTTTATTGTTGTGATATTGTTTTAACTACTTATTAACCGACAGTGACATCGTTATGGGAAAATTTGAAAACCAGACCTTGCCGAGGTTTGAGACTTTCCTGTGAAGACCAAGGTTTGAGGTTAATAAGTTATTATATGGCTTTTTGCTACGCTTTTGCAGGTCTGTAATTGGCCCATGGGCATTACAGGAGAATAATGCCCTAGAATAAGCCAATCAGAGCACACATTATAATAAATTATTGGCTGCAAACATGAACCATATAATAATATAGCTTATTTACAATGTTAAACAACATATAATGTTTTAAAAAATATATGCAACTCTGTAATTTTTGCCATCTCCAAACATCACCTCGAGATATCTTCAATTTTGGCCTGAATAGTTTTAACTTCAAGTTCATGTGACTTGCTCTGGTTACAATAATATGTCTGTGAGGCAAGTGGTTGGAAAAGTGGTGTTTGTGGTAAAATATAGTAGACTTCCATATTGTGTTTATGAACAGATTCTCTAGACCATAGGTTATAGAAAATAACATTATCACCATCCCCAGGACTCAGGCAGCTCGCCCTAAAGAGGGTTCCCCTCTGCTTTCTTTTGATACTTTTTTAAAACAATGTAATTGTATGGGCTAATAACATTATTTGCACATTCACCGAACCATAAAACCATTCCTTAAGGACACCGACCCAGTTAACCAAGAACAAATTACAGTCACCTTTTTTCTTGCCAAATAAGATGCTTCGTTGATGGCTAACCCTTTTAAAGCCTCATATGCCTGGTAAAAAAGGAAATCAAAAGGCTGTTAAGGTTACGGTAGACCTTCAGGGGTGCCTTCCAAAACATACTTTCTTTGCATGCTGCTTCAAAGAAAACCTTGCTTAACTATATATCATTGTAAAGCTTACAAACTGTTGAATCTGAAAATAAAAATATAGTTTACTATTTTTGTTTTGGTAGGCACACACAAGCCTTTAAATGCAAAAATGACAACACTTGCTAAACTGAATTACCAGCCTTTGTGCTACCACAGACATCCAAACTGACTAAACTATATCACTCAGGAGATCATGGGCTAAAAAGGGTGGTGCTTTTTCAATATTTCTATTGGTTGCTTAGTAAATCCCTTTTAAAGTTGGACAATGGAAAATTATATGACTGCTGTTACTCAATGGGATGTCACAGGAAAAATATTTCGATTTTCGTAAAGGCCTCAAACACCTTGATGCGCTAATATCTGATGAATATTTTGGCCACGTTTTGGTATTATTTTCCTTCTCTATCAAATAAAGGTCTTTTACCTGATAGAATGACTTCAAGTGGATATCATGAAGCCATCTGAGATGATGATGAGAGGAAAGAAAACTTGCTAAATCTTCATGTTGTGGCTCAGGTATTGTCATCAACTTCTGACGCTCTCCTGAAAAATGCAGATAAGTAAAAACTGGTCTAAATTGATCTTACATTTCAGCTCAGTTCATAACTGGTTGATCTATGTATTGAAACTACATTCTCACAAGTAAGTAGACAAACAACAAGAATGAAGATATTTTACTGTCTCATGGAAACATGTAAACTTACATGCATCTAAGGGTACCTGGTACATTAAAAAAGTGAGTGTCATGAGCAGTGTCACAAGGGGAGTGTACCTTTATCCATGTACCACTTGAATAAGAAATCTGAAAAACCCTGAAGAAGAGAGAACATATTATTTTCAAAATATAATTAGGATACATGCATAATAGTAAATTAATTACTCAGGCTCAAGTCTCACCCTAGATAGCTATCTAATTATTTTAGAATGGAAAAGCTATGCCAGCAGAGAATACATGTAGTTGTCCAATTTTATGCATAACTCAAGTGTAGAATTTGAAGTGCTTGTCTATAACATGATAATTGGTAGTAACTTTATTTTCTCCACAACAATTTCCAATGAAAAATGTTTGTATTTTTAATGAGTTCACTTCAGCATGAAATAATGAATTATGTGTACACACGACCCTGTTATTAGGGACTTAAAGATATGGTATAGCTTGGCTGTAGCACAGCAGCAGATTTTCAAGGTTACTTCCAGTGAAATCAAGATGCGCGTACCAGTACGGCTTTCCTGCTGTAGCCTTGCTTTCTAGCACTGGCTTCACGTACTTTCACTATGTGAGTAAGAGTCTGCTGTTCATTCTCATTTTAATGTTTTTTTATTGTTTGAAAGCCTAGTTTGAAGACAAAGTACAACCCTCCAAGTTAACATTTTTCGTTAGTGGCCATTTGGCTACTGACTGTTCAGGTTTGGTCGTCAGTGAAAAATTTTAGTCGCCAAAATATATGCATAAATTAATAATTAATTAATAATAAATAATGATCTTATTATTATCTAACTGTATTATTAATAACATTTTCCTTGAACCACCAAGTAAATTGAAGTCCCCTTCAGTGAAAGAACTACCTAATGTTGATTCAAATATGCTTTTATTAGAATGATTGATGATCAAATGAAATAGTTTCTGATCACAATGAAAAAGTACTCTATTATTGCAACAGTGTTGTGAGTTGATCACAGTTCTCATTCAGTCATTTTAAATTGATTGGCTTTCACTTTCAATAAATCTTTTACAATGGTTATAAT